CTCTCTAAAAAAAGGTGTGCGTGTTCAGGAGGGAGGGGATAGATAATGAAATGTTAAGGCATCTTACTTAGCAATATAGAGATTCAGGAAGTTTGAGGCTTTAGAAATGACAAGGGACTTTACAGGTGGTCTTCTCCAGCATTTTTCAAAATAGGTAAATCAGCATATTCCTTGATATAATGTAAAGAATGGATTTTGTGGTTTAAATAACTCATGACCCCTTGAAAGGTTAATTCAACTTATTTCTGCAAGATGTTTCAGGTCCATTGTATATTGTGAATCTCTATCGGGGTCACGTGTTTTATAGTGGAATTAAAATTTTTCCAAAGAGCGTCTCTCCAGGAGTGTTGGCTAGTATTTTTTCAGTCTCAGTATCCAATTTATCTTATTTTGATAGCACAATATTGAGAAAATTATAATTCACGAAGATAAGTAGTCGCAAAGGGTGGCAGTATTTGGAAACAGATTGCTTTGCTGTGTCAAGATTCTTGTCAACTAAACTGAGCAAAAAGTGTAAAAGAGGAACAATAGGAGATTTTTGCTTCAACTGTATGTGTTTTATTGTTTGTGCTTAAATTGTTTATGTCTTTTGTTTAAATATGTCTCTTTTCTGATCAGGGCCTGATTTAAAGATATTTTGTGCTATGGATTGAGATAGGATCCATATGTTTTTTACCACTGCTTCTTAAATTGTGTGTAGACTAGCACTGTTTGTTACTGGTCTCAGTCAAGAAAAGAATAGAAATTGGGAATTAGTATTTCGAAATTTTTACAGCAATTTGTCACTGCTATGACATCCAATCAGATGATCAGTGGATTCTTTTTGTTAATCAGTGTCTGGTCCAGTTGGGTGATTGTCACACCCATGTGATGAATTACATGTAGTTCAAGCTACTTATTGTCATCAACCTCCAATGAAATGGATGTTAATAAAGAAACAAAACAAAACTTGTCCTTTACCACAGATAGGTTGAGAAGTAATGTGGTAGAAGATAATTAAACTCTTGGTCTTCCATAGATAATGATAAATACATATATATACACACACACACACACACACACACACACACACACACACTTTTAAAAGGAAACATTCATCTTGTTGCTATATCCAAAGACATTGAAACTCTTGTACCACTGAAAATGCTTCCATAGAATTTTTAAAACCTTGTTCAGTTACTAGAATTTTTCCATCAGACAAAATCCAGTTTTCTCTTTCAGAGCTGGAGCCAGAGGTAATTTCTTTTCCGTTGGGGATTTTCTTACCTCAGGACATCAGAAGTATCAAGAGGGTTGGTCTATCTCAATTCAATTAGTTTTTCACCCTCTCACCCATTTAAAAATATGGTCCATTGGCATTTTCTTGATTTATACATTCTATGCAAATAGAGCTCAAGTCCAGCGCTCTTTCAGATTGCTTGCTGCCTTCCTGTCTATATAGAAGTTCTGGAAGAGTTATGACCTACAGATTTTGCATTTTAGTGCTCTTCTTATTCCTTCTCTTTTTGGCTAACACTTTTACAGCTAGCACTGTGATTGGATCATTGTAAGAGCTCAATACAGTTTAACAATTACTAAAATTATTCTTTGATTTCTGTACGTGGAAAAAGACAACTCAAGCATTTTTACAAAGAAAATTGTGGAATTGTCTCCTTATCTGGTAATTTTAGAGGGCAATCACAATGATAATCACTTAGGGAGTATTTGGTGGCTTAGATATAATTGGGAAAAATATTCCTGAGTTGTGAAATTGAGCCCCACATCAGGCTCTGCTCAGTAGGGGGAGTCTGCTTGAGCTTCTCTTCCTGTCTCTCTGTCCCCTCCCCCTTGCAGGCATGCGCTCTCTGATTCTCTCTTTCTCTCTCTCGCTGTCAAATAAATAAATTAAAAAAAATATTATGCCTGAATTCTTGATTTTCCTTTTCCTTTCTCAGAATTAACCTCTTTCTAAGCAGTCATATGAATGGGATAAAAACTTATGGCTTGTTCTCTAATTAAACTTTTTCCATTTAATGATACAACTTGAGTCTTCCATTTGGTATAGTCAACATAAGTTCACCTCATTTTTTTGGACAGTAGTTGTATTTTCTATTGAATAGATGCACAGTTGTGGGTTCTCCTACCCTCTCACTGATAGATATGTGGGCTTCCCGGTCAACCCAATTGTCTTCCTGACTATACAGACTAGTCATGTTCTAGAATATTAATGCAGATAAAATTTTTTCACATGCATACAAATTACCATGGCTGAAGGGACTAAAGAAAATCAGCTTGGCCCTAAAGGGAAAAAGGCAGCAATTTCAAAGACATTTGAACAACAACTCTAAAATAAAATTAATTAACTTCCCTTTAAACAAATTCTTTTAAGTTTTCATGGCAATTTGTGCTTGTGAAAAAATTCTTGGCATGTCTTCTATAGGGAAGACACTCATTCTCTGTAAACCCTAAAGATAGGAGAAAAGGGGCATAACTCCAAGTAGAAAGGGAAGACTCTGTTAACACCGGACAAAGCCAAAAAATATTTAGTTGTATGACTTTTAAAAGGCCCTTTGAAGCAATCTGGAATTGCACTGTTAATTCCATAGTAAAATATCCCCACAGAGTATTACAAAGTATGCTGGTATGAGACAGTTTCTAGTTTATTTTCAGGCACACTGCAGGTGCTCATATATTTGTGGAATGAATGTGATTGTGAGAGGAATGACCAAATGCAGACCCAGAAACAGTGATGTGACTGAGGTCTTGTGGTGGGCCCACCACTGCATGGACGATGGGCCCCCCACTGATTCTCTCTGAAGGCCAGAAAATTAATACTAAAATTCAACCAATTCCCATGATCTGGAGAGTGGAGAATTGGAAAAGTATTTCAACCAGGCTCCTCAACCCCTTAGGAGCCAGCAGAAGTTAAGAGAGGCTCTCACTGCAGAAGAAGTCTTCTAGGGGTCATGCATTGATACAACAAGCTAAGTTTCTTACAAAGTTGAAGGATGATTATTAAAAATAATGGATGCTCTTATAAATAATATCAATCTACTATAGAGATCATTTAAAAAAGTAATTTCCATCTATTTTTTTTTAAAGATTTTATTTATTTATTTGACAGACAGAGGTCACAGGTAGGCAGAGAGGCAGGCAAAGGGGAAGGGAGAAGTAGGCTCCCTGCTGAACAGAGAGCCCGATGTGGGGCTTGATCCTAGGACCCTGAGACCATAACCCAAGCCAAAGGCAGAGGCTTAACTCACTGAACCACCCAGGTGCCCTGTTGTTCTTGTTTTTAACTTATTTTTAAAATTTATTACTGGAGTAAAACTGACACATGTTATATTAGTCTCAGGTGCCATGTTTTTAATTGGAGAAATTGCTCTTAAAGAAGTCTGTTGCCACAGAGTAGATCTTCAGTGTTTGACATACACAGAAAAGGAAAACATATTCTCCAAAGAATATTTGATCCTACTTCCTTCCTGTTGATGTGAAAAGATGTGGTTTGTGTCGTGTGATAGATAACGATCACTTTAAATTTATCACCTTGGGAACATTGTAGTATGAAATAATAGATTGACTAGAATATCTGGGGTCTAGTCCTCATTTTTGCTCTTTAACTACTTTTATGTCTTTGGGCAAGAAACTTAGCCTGATTAGGCTTTATCATCAGGAAGTTGGGAGTAAAAATACCAGTCCTGCTTATTTTGCAAGGCTGTTGCAAGGATGAAATGAAATAAATAAATGTGAAGACATTTTATAAACTACTGTTATACAACTATAAAGTCTCATTACTTGCCGAGATTACAATATCCTCAAATTTTAGTGTGTAGATAAGAGTCATTTGCGTTGCTTGCTAAGAATGCAGTTTCGAGAACTTCTATTTCCAGCAATACATAAGGCAACAGAGCCCAAAAAACTCTCCCACTACACAACTCCTAGAAATGTTGGATAAAGTATATCTAACATCATTATAAATGCATAACTGGGCTTGTGATCAAGAAAGGAAAATTTCTAGGGCCAGAAACTGGAAGGGGAAGAAGTGACTCAGAGAGGTAATTGGGTGCTAAAGGCACAGCTGCCTTGAGGGACAATAATCATAGTAGTATATTTTAGGCTAGAGGAGGGCAGAGGACAAGGTCGGAGGCTTACCCACGGTGTGGAGTGAGAATTGAGACCTCCCGTATATCCATCTCTCCTAAAGAGTGTTTTTCCTCATTAAAAGGCAGACTAAAAGACCAATCTACCATTGACAAAAGGAGGGGAAGGAGTCTATCTCTTCTAGAGGTTTACAAAGACCCCAGTCCTGACACTAACTCTAAGCTTCTGGGTTGGTGGAACCAATGCACAGGGAGCAGAAGCCCAGGTGTTTTTCCCTGCTGGTATGTTCCCTCTGCCCAAGGGTCTATGAATTCTAGAAGTAAAGCCCAGTCTAACATTAACTCCAGTTCCCAAATCCCATTGTAATAAGACCTTGCAGAAATATAGACACCCAAGGACTTCAGACATCAGATGTAAGGTATAGAATGTAAGTATGTCTAAAATGTTTGAAAAGTGCAGATTCCTGGGTCCCAATGAATCAGTTGCTGGGGTGGGCCTAAGAATATTCACTTTAAGAAGGCATCTGCAAAGTGTAAGATGCAGGTTATCTTTCAGAAGATACCTTCTGGGAAATGTAGCTATGCTAGTTTCCCAAAACGTATTCCGCTGACCACTTCAAGTACTAAAATATTTGCACGTGGTTCCACCTCCATTGTTAGTGGGTTAAAAGGAATAGGATTTAAAAATGTATATATATTTTATTTATTTATTTGACAGAGAGAGAGAGAGAGAGAGCACAAGCAGGGGGAGTTGCAGGCAGAGGGAGAGGGAGAAGCAGGCTCCCCTCTGAGCAGGGAGCCCAATGTGGGTCCTGGGATCACAACCTGAGTCAAAGGCAGATGCTTAACCAACTGAGCCACCCAAGTGCCTCAAAAGGAATACCTTTTAATGACAAATTTCCTTTTCTCCTCTATGGCTAATCAGGCTTTATCAGTCTTCTGACTTAAATGGATAATTAGGTAGTCAGAATTTTTCTCCTCTGGCCTGAAAAACAAGCAATTGACAACAAATGATGGTACTGAACTAACATGGAGAGTAAATGGAAATGACATTCTCTTCCCCTCTTTTGCCATCTGCTTCCCTAATGGCCTCTCTAGTGCACTGTTGCTGAGCTGGCTGGCAATGCCCCTCATCTTGTTATAGCTTAGGGAGGTTAAAATGGTGCATAGTGGGCCACTGAGGCAGATGGTGACTTTCTTTACTGTTTGTGTTCCTCCCATATTGAAAAGTTGTAGCTGCTCCCAATGCATTTTGCCTTTTGGTGGAGGGTTGGGGAAGGGATTGAAGAAGGGTTAGGGGAAAATCTCAAGAGAAGAGCCACCAGAAAAATTTTAGCCCTGGCTTTCCATCTTCTTATTCTCCATCACCTTTTTATCTACTGAACTCAACGTGACAGGGGTTTGTTTTTGAAAGCCCTGTGCAGGGACGGGTTGTTTTTCCTATCTTTGAGCTGTTCAGCCATCTGTCCCAATTTCTTCCTGGTTTCCTGTTATTTTCATTCTGCCTTTATAAAGATTAACATGCGGTGCAACCACATATTCTATTAAGCTTGTCTCCTCACTACTTTATCTCATTAACTGCTTGATCACTATGAATAAAAATAATCTTCCATTAAGTCACAACTTCAAACGTCTCTGAGACTTTAGATCAAGCAAACCTTCAACAGCTTAAAAAAATCTCTTTAAATCCAAGAGGTTCACTTCAAAGGAAAACCTATGGGTGTTCTCAACCCAACTGACAGGTAAATAGTCATTTGTAACTAAAGATATGCAAGTGAGAAAACATGGCTTACACTGGAGTTGATAGCTTCTCTTAACTTTTTCTCTGGTTAAAAGGACAATTTAGAGCTGGCTGCGAGTCAGGTTCGGCTTGGATAACACAACATTGTACACATGGAAATGGGGTAGTATCAGTAAGCAACCATACAGCTTTCTGTACTATTCATACTTTGTATTTCTTTTTTTTTTAATATAAAGATTTTTATTTATTTGAGATAGAGAGAACGAGAGGGAGAAGGAGAGAAAGAGAGAGGGAATGAGCATGGTGGGGGGAGGGGCAGAATGAGAGGAAGACACAGGCTCTCCACTGAGCAGGGAACCCAGTGCAGGGCTCCATCCCAGGACCCCAGGATCATGACCTGAGCTGAAGGTAGATGCTTAAACAACTGAGCCACCCAGGTGCCCGTCATACATATTTCTATTTACAAAATTAATACAAAAAGAAAAGAGAAAACAGGAAAACAAGGAGGCAGGGTTGGTAGTGACAAATATCACACAGTCTTAGATAACCACTATTAATAATGTGATAGTCCTTATGCTTTGTGTGTATGTGTATGTGTGTACTAAAAAGTATGAAGTGCTTTGTATACAGTTTGTATAGAGTATATTGTATACAGTATACAGTTTTATAGACATTCCCTTTTTCACATCCATATACTTTCTTTGTGTGAAGGATAACTTTGTGTGTGCTCTTTCCTTTGCCCGCCATGTCCTTCTTTTACCCAAAGAACTCCTCTTCCTTCAGACCTCCACTCTGAATCATCTTAACCTTGAGAGCTATTTTTGATCTTTCTGACCTATCTATTCCCCCACTGGATGTTTTCTTTGCTTAGTGGTCTTCTTGTGGGTGCTGATTACAGTTGTAATTTTTTTATTCCTGTGTGATTTTTGATTGTTTTCTCTCTTCCACTAGACTTTAAGCCTCATAAGGGTTGGGGTTGTGTATTCTCAAGGCCCAGCACAGTGCTGGACACACAGTAGATGCTTCTAGAACTTTGGTTTGGATGAATGAATGGTAAGTTTTCAGATACTCCATACTTCTCCAGCTATCATTTAATTTTGAGGTTGTTTATTGGCTATTTTAAATGGGAAAATAGGTGTCATTATATGATGTCATTGCCCATGTCCTTAGTTATTTCCTTTTTCTTAAAAAAAGATTTTAGGGGCACCTGGGTGGCTCACTGGGTTAAGCCTTTGCCTTTGGCTCAGGTCATGATCTCAGGGTCCTGGGATCGAGCCCTGCATGGGGCTCTCTGCTCAGCGGGGAGCCTGCTTCCCCCTATCTCTCTCTGCCTGCCTCTCTGCCTACTTGTGATCTCTTTCTCTGTCAAGTAAATAAATAAAATCTTTAAGAAAAATAAAAAAAGATTTTATTTATTTATTTGAGAGAGAGTAATCAGGGGGAGGAACAAAGGGGGTAGGAGAGAGAATCTCAAGCAGACTCCATGCTGAGCTCAGAGCCCAATATGGGACTCAATCCTTTAAATCACCCTGAGATTTAGACCCTGATATAAAACCTGAGCCGAACCCAAGTGTTGGCTTTTTAAGCAGCTGAGCCACTCAGGTGCCCCTGTTTCTTTAGAAATAGTTATTTCTTTAGAAAGATTCCTAGGAGTAGAATTACAAGACTAGAGAGTATGGGACACTTTAGTGCCTTAGATACATACTACTAGAAACATGTCAATTATTACAGTCTCTAATAGGAGAAAAGAATGCTTATTTCTACATATTGTCATACTTTCATTTTTCTTCTTCTTCTTTTTTTAAACTTTATTTATTTGAGATAGAGAGAGAACACTTATGCTAGAGAGCATGAGAAGGGGGGCGGGCAGAGGAAGAGGGAGAAGCAGACTCCCCACTGAGCTGGGAGCTGGATTGCAGGGCTGGATTCCAGGACTCCGGGATCATGACCTGAGCTGAAGGCAGACGCTTAACAGACTGAGCCACCCAGCCACCCCTTTAATTTTTTTCTTTTCTAATTTTCTTTTCTAATTTCTTTTTCCTGGAAATGGACTATTCCTAATCTGAATTCTTGGCCATCTATCACATAGTCTGTCTGTTGATATAAATCTTTTTTTTAATCTATCAATTGATGTGTGTTTATTTGCACAGATGCAAAACTTTCCATCTTTTCCCTTTGTTGTTGTTGTTTTTTATCCTTATAAAGCTTTCTCCACACTCAGAGAAATAATAGCTGTGAAAAAAACAAGATATGTGTATATGTGAGTATATAGAGGGAGAGGACTGGATTAATCTATAAATGAAGCTGGTGAATTGATCAGTTATACAGAAGGGAAAAAGTTAGTCTCATTTAACATCTTATATGAAAGTATTCTCCAGATGGATTCAAATCAATTTTTAAAATTATAAAATAATTGGAAGAAAATAGTGTGAGTACCACTTATCTGTCTTATTTGTGTACTCAAATTTATCAGGGCATAAGAATTACTTTGGATGAAAAATAATTTCTTGTTAAAAGTTTTGGCTAGAAATTTTGATCGGAGATCTCCCAAGTAGTACAGTGTTGAGAGGGAGAGTCTAACCTTGGTCTCTAAATACCAAGTACCTTTTTTCGAGCTCCACAGCATTTCTGTTAAATGAAGCCAGGGTAAGTAAATCGTGTGGTGGAGAAAGGCCCTGCCATCACCTGCAGTTAGAAGGCAGAGAGTCCTGGCTGTATCTCATTACTCATCACATAGTTCGGTCATCTGGGGAGAGCTTTTTCTTAGACATTCTCTTTATCTGTAAAGTGAATAACAAAAGTCTCTGTTCTGTCCACTTCACAGAGTTGTTGGGGAGTTCAAATCAGGTACTGTAAACGGGCACTATTACTGAAGAGTGCTGTATGTGATAATAGCACAGTGTGTTTTATATTGCTGTTCTTTATGTTCCAATCTATTTTTCCTGCAAAAGTATATCTTTAAGAGCAAGTTTGTTCCTCTCTGCACTCTGAAAATGCCTGGCATGATGGCTTTCCTTAAAGATCATATTCTGCAATGATGAAGAGCTCGGACTGGAGTCCTACTGAGCTTGGTTTGAATCCAGGTCCTGTCATTTGTACTGGTGTGACCTTGGGCAAGTTACATAATCTCTCTATGTTTCAGTTTTCCCGTCTTTGAAAAGAGGATAAATGTAGTACCTGTCTTGGTATGTTAAGGCTCTGGTTATGTCACTAATCCAAACTATGGTTTTTGAAGCAATAAAGGGAATACAGTAGCTAATCTGTATGTATATGTGCATGTGTATGTTTATGTGTCTCTGTCTCTGTCTATCTAGCTATACTCTCCAGGAGTGGTTAGTTAAGATACAATCTTGTTATTCTCTTTTGATTTGCTTTTTCTTTTAGCCTCAGGCTTCTTTTTTCTTTTTTTTTGCAAATAGGATTTGTCTACACAGCAGAGAAGGTGTCATAGCCCCTAATTAACATTAAATAAATGTATCATGTTCTCCAACTTGAAATTTAAACTATTCACAGATTTTTAAAAATTGTAATAAAATAATCTTTTTTGAGACAGGGAGTGAGAGGATGCGCACATGCAAGCTGGGGAGAGAGGGGTGAGGCAGAGAGAGAATCTTAAGGAGGCTCCGTGCCCAGCATGGACCCCAACACAGGGCCAACACAGGGCTCCATCTCACAACCCTGAGATCATGACCTGAGCTGAAATCAAGAATCGAATGCTTAACCAACTGAGCCACCCAGGTGCCCCATAAAATAGTCTTAATTGGTTCTACTTCAGTCATAGTCTCACCCTGAACTCACCATGTGGTCTGGTGAAGGGGTTGCTTTGGTTGTTTAGATCTGGTTTCCTTGCCCTATTATGGGTGTGGCCATGTAGGGTTCTAGGACTGTCAGCCCCACTGTCATCATATGGTTGGAGAATGGGAGAAGTAGTTCCCCAGAGGAAAGGGGTTATGTAGGGTGTGTTAAAACACAAAAATAACCAATGTCTAGTAGTTTCCTCATTGGGCTGTTGTAAGAATTTAATGATAGAAATTTTGGTACCATTGATATAAAAAGAAAGAAAGAAAGAAAGGAAAAACTCAGCTTTTACTAGTATTATTATTCACTGGAAGGATACTTATTTCTAGGTATCTTGTAGATATCAGTCACCTGAACTGTTGCGGTTAAACCACCTTTGGCTAGGTTTAGTGCAAACATCTAGGAAAGAGATGTAGGAGGTCATGTGATAAGAGGGAAATGGAAAGGTAGCCATCATGACTCTTCACAGAAATGAGCCCAGGCAAGGCCCCGGGGCTAAGAACAGGGGGAAGAAGCCTGTCTTTTCTGATGGGTGGTTCCTCATAATAAGTGCTCATTTTCAGTGGGACCTGTAAGTATATACTAGCCTTGAGTCTCCACTGCCATTCCCATCCTCTCTTCAGAGTCAAATAGTCAGGTTTAAACATGATTAAAGTACCATGAGATTTCTGGCTCCTCTGTTTTTTTGTTTGTTTGTTTTTCCTTTCTGTTGGTTAGTGTGTTATCCCTACATTTTTTCCCTTTCATCTCCTCAGACTTGGATTTAGCTTAGTCTTGACTTTTTCCTTTAGTCTGACTCTGGTCACATACAGATAGAGCACCATATTAATACATAATGGGAAAAATGGAATTTAGTTTAGCTTCCTTGTATGTGTTGCATTGTTGAGGCTAAAAAAAAAAAAGGTGGAACCTTTTGACTTAGAGCCATGAAAACACTTCTTATTTAAGCACCATCAACTTAGAGCTGAGGTTTCCAACTGGCATAGATCATCACAGCAAGCAGGCAAATCTTTTGAAATAAACCCAATTTTTTCTTAAAGACAGACATCAGGAGCACATAAAAAATCATGTGCACCACGATGTACTTTGGGGGTAATTTTCCTTGATTATAAACAACATTTTGATGTACTTGTCTCTCTAACATCGATGAGAAAGAGTCCAAGTGAATAAATAGTTCCTGCATTTCATGATGTGATTTTAATTCCTCCACCTTGGCTGCTTAAGGATAACAGCTTGATCTGATATGACTGAAAATAAGAAATATCTATATTTCCATGATCACTGAAAGTTCAAATTGGATTGTAAACTTAGATAGAACTGACCTGAGGCTTATCAGAGCTGAAGCAATGGAGCTGCGTGAAAACAGAGCAGATTTAATCAGAAAGGAAATTCTGCTTCAGAAAGTCTTTGCCCCACCAAAAGACACTTGAGTATAGGAGGAAGGAGGATAGGAGATGAGAAAGAAAAAAGGAACCTTTCAAACATTAAAAAAAAAAAAAAGTTGCCTCCCCCCATAACTTCTGTACTCGATTAGGTTTAATATAAAGTAATCCTGCGTGTTCATCAGGAAATCTTCTGGTTATGTTCTCGAAGCCAGCGAATAATGGAGATATCTGCCACACTGGAAAGTAGTGTCGATCAATAATATTATATATTTTTGTTCGCCATGCCTTTTTGCAGCTGACTGGCCTTCCCTTCTCTCTGGAGCTTGGCTGCTTTATTTATAGACGTGATTTTTATCTTCTCTCTTCCTAATGGTGGTGTTTGGAGGACCAAGGGAACAGTTATGAAAGCAACTCTGTAGGGCAAATAACCAAGCCAGTGGTACTGCAGTGATTTCATGAACTCCCAACCCACTGGGGCCTCACTGTGTTGCTGAGGCTGAAGTGCATGTACTTCACCTGGTTCTGATACTGTTCAGGGCGTGCAGATGTGGGCAGCAAAGCTGTTGTTAGTGAAAGATTTTTCTGCTCCTGCAGAACAATGTACTGTAGCTAAAACTTTAATTTTAGCAAGTAGGATAATTGTTACTTCTCTAATGCCTCTGATTAAGGTCAGCAGCAGACATTACTTGGGAACTAAGACAGCTTTTGTGGGCAAATGACACAGGGGAAGAAATAAAGAAATTGTTTCTTTCTTGAAAATGGAGGATACTAGAAGGAACTATATGGTATACACAGATGGTATCAGCCATCTAATGCTCTATGACATAATGGCTTCCACCACACCCGCTCTTTTATTCCTGCTTTTGCCATTTGGGTCGGGCTCAGCTGGGCTGGCTCATCTCTGCTTCTTCTGCTTCTTGTGGTCAACTGGATGGTTCCCACTACCTCTTTGACATGCCCAGCAATTGGCTGGGGGCCTTGGTTCTCCTTTGCATGACTCCTTAGCAAGATACCCTGGGCTTCCTCATTGTGTTAACAACTTGACAACTGCATAGCATAAAACTCAACCCCCTTACAAAATAGTTCACCCACTTCCCCAGACCATTTCCTGTATTTCTTGGGGGATGTGTCACAAACATTTTCAGAAAAGACCCTTCCACTGAAACTGACCTGCTCTGCCAGCTGCTTCAGTTTTGCCTGTCCCTCCATGTGTGCATTTCAGCATGGCCCAGTTGCCATTGCATCCTTCTCTTACTGCATACCTTCATCCACGCATTGGACCCTTGTGTCCCCAAAGCAGTGTGGCTGTCTAGGATAAGGTGGGAACAATGCTTCTTTCCCCTCTGGGCTACTATTTTAGAGGGGCCCCAAGTAGGACTCTTGGGTCCACCTTTCTCCATCTTCTGTTGTTCTTCCTCTATTTGGACATGAATCCAGCATGGGGTTGGCTGGGAATAAATGGATTGGACCAGGACACAATACTGAATTAATCTAACGGCATTTTATTTGATTAAGTCTATCATGTCCCATTCTTTCTATTTTTAGGGTGAATTCTCTCAAGGCCCTGACTTCCTAGATAGCCATCTTCCTGTCCAGTGAGGACCACCCCCCCATCCCCATCATCCCTCTCTTGAACGAACACCATTGTCAAATGAGGTCTGTCCCATTTTAGAGGTGAAAAAACTAAGTCAAGGAAATCGGAAATTCAACTCCCTTGACTCAGGTAGCCTCCGTAGGCTAGGGGGAAGAAAAAGCAAGATTCCAGGGCTCTATTTAGTCCGTTCCTCAGCTGGCAAATCCTCCTTGTCCTAAGAAATCAAAGATATCCTGTGGGGGTAGCAACGAGATACTCCATATGGTGTTCTGCTCTTTCTCACCCTTTTAATTTGGCTCATTGTTCAATCTTAATTTGCAATTGTCACAGCTGCGATTGCATTCCCGATGTTCCACCAACTCCAAAAACCCTTGAATCTGAACCCTCAGTGGTTTTAATTTTATTTTTGTTGAGAAAGGTTATGTTGTCACAATGGGTAAAGCTAGCTCTTCAGTGAGGGAAAACATTTTTTTTTGGGAAAAAGATACTTCTAATTTTGTATTAAGCCTCAGAATGGGCTGCAACTGTGGAACCTCAAGTGCAGGGGAGTTGACAACTCAGCCATAACCAAGCTAACTGAATTGGACAGAGCAATGTGAGACATAATTAGCAATTCCGTTCAGCGAGCTGTCTCCTGAAAAACTTAAAATACCTTCCCTTCCTCATGCATATTCAGTGCCTCATTTGCTATTGTTTTTATCCAACAGGTTGAAATTCAAAAGGAAAAAATTCTGAGTTGTCTGTCTCATTTTCATCCCCCGCATTCTCCTCTCTTTTCAGCAGCTCCCCGCACCCCCCCATCCAGTCCCATTTCAATATAGCAGGTCACCCCGATGCCAACTGCACACTGACAAATACAAAGTACTCTGAGCACATTTTTTCTCTCGCTAGTACCTTTGTCAACCTTTCCTTTCAATTAGATAAACTGAGCAGGTATGTTTGCCCTGGGAAATTATGACCGTTTGGTTTTTGTGGTTTTGTGGTCAGGCTTCTGCTGGGAATTCTCTCTGTCACATGGTTACTGGATCATGATAGGTTTGTGCGGAATTGGAGATTGATTGATGAGCCTATGCTTTTCCTCCTGGTCTCTATCCACCTTGTAGGGTTAGGCTTTCACTTTCCTGGATGTTCCAGGTGGTTAGGCTTTTGCCTGTGGATGTGCAATGAGACCACAGAAGCAATGAGACGTGGTGGGGGAAGTCAAATACATTTCCCTCTGTTCATTGCAATCCCGGTTAGTTGAGCCTACAAATTCTCCATTAGAAGATTGTCTGCAAAATATGTTGGGTGTGATTACTCTGGAAAGACCCCCAGAAGAATGGCTGGTCGTATGCAGGGGCAGTGCAGTGGAGAGCAAGCAAGAGTCTGTGTTAGATCTAAGGTTAGATCTAAACAATGATTTTAGATGTGTGGTCTTGACCAAGTTACTTAACCTCCCTCATCCCCAAGTGTTTCATCTGCACAACAAAGATGGTAATAACTCTGTGTGTGAGTGTTATTATGAGGATTACATAAGACAAGGTATAGTGAAGACCTAGATGAGTATCTGGTCCATTGTTGGGGCCCAGGAATTGTGTCCTTCCTTTCCTTTTTAAGTTCCTCCCCTTCCTCATCTTAGTCTTCCTTTTCCTTTTCTTTCTGTTTTATTGTATTTTGTAATCTGATATCAGAAAATGTAAAATATTTTAAAATTTTAGGGAAATTACTCAGTGCTTTCAAACTCTTTCCCTACAACGTTTCTTTTTAATGGACACATTCTAGCAATTAGTAAATGCCCATTTAAGTTTCATTTTCTCTCCCCTCCCCTATCAATATCTGGTAAAGGTGACTGGACAAAGGCATAAATTGAGTTAAATGAGAAAGTATTTTTTGAATCCTAAATTCCTGGAAGCATCGCTGTATTTCATCGCTTCAAAAATAGCCTCTTTCAGGGATGCCTGGGTGGTTCAGTCAGTTGATCGTCTGACTTCGGCTTAGGTCATGATCCCAGGATCCTGGGATCGAGCCCCACGTCGGGCTCCCTGCTCAGTGTGGAGTCTGTTTCTCCTTCTCCCTCTGCCTGCCACTCTGCCTACTTGTACTCTCTCTGTCAAATAAACAAATAAAATCTTAAAAACAAACAAAAACAGAAACCAAAAACCAAAAATAACCTCTTTCAGATTTTAGCTTTTCCATTTGGGAAGCATCAAAATAAGAAAAATATACTGATAAAATTTCATGTTAAAAATTTTAATTTGCTGACCTAACTTGGAAGGTTTAACTTCCACATTTTTTTTTTTAAGAGAAAAGTAGGAAGTTAAGGCACTCTCGAGTCTGCAAATATTTTAGGGGAAGCTGAGATGTATACTTAAAATGGATTCTGTATGAAATACAACAGTAGTGCTCAAAAGAAAGTTTTAAGGGGAAATAGAAGAAGAAAGGTCACCAGTGTTGTAAATCAGAGGAAGAGAGTTAGGAAGTTATTCCTTTTCAAAGTTAAATTTGTCATAGCAGGTTGACATCTGAATAAGTTCATATGATGAGAAATGAATGCAAGGACTAGACCAAGTAGAGGCACTTCTTTCCCTCCTCCTGATTCCTGAAAGCCTATAGATTTCATTACATGTATCATACCATTTGGCAGGTGACTTAGCCTTCATTGATTAGCATCACACACTGTCCTCTGTTTTCCAAGTAAAAGTCTTATTTTGTCTTTTTTGTTTTTTTGTTTTTGTTTTTGTTTTTTTTCCAAAATATTGCAGAATATTTGAGGGATTGGATCACCTCAAGTACTTGATGTGGCTTCCCACAGCTTCTAGCCTCTCCTATATATGTGTTGAGCAAGAAAGGAATCTTTGCAAACTGAAGGCAGAATGAGAGAAAATGAAGCCATGAACCTGTCTTCCATCTGCAGTACCCCTTACTTTATGAGTGTGTGAAGGCCAAGGTTATGAGCCACCATGCTCACCAACAGAAATGGTCGTACAGGAGGGAGGAAGAGATGAAGTCCAGAAGAGAAGACTATGAAATGAATATGTTGAACTCCAACAATGGAAAGAGATGAAGAATGAATTGCAGATGGAGGGAATGTGAGAGATGGAAGAAAACTGGTGATTGCTCAGCTGCCGTGGTGAGAATTTGGATTGTGAACAAGTTCCAACACAGCTTCCATGTCATAAAGGTGGGGAACAAGGTAGAGGATATATTAAAAATCATGACCCCTTTGTCTGAATAACTTTAGTTAGGGCTTCAACATAATCTCTTGTGTCTCTCAAGCAGGAGCTTGATAAGCACTACTTAATGGAGAACTGAGCAAGCCCATACCCTGAAGAATAGGGACAAGATAGGAGCAGACATTTGAAGCTTAGGGAAAGATTTGTACTCTGTTAGCAGTGGAAAATACTGTCCTTTGCCTCCTTGAGCAGTAGCTCCCTGAGTTTTGAAAGCAATTAATCTGATGTTTCTACTTTAACCCCAATAGAAGCCTAAATTCTGTAAAGTCTCTGCAATAAGTATATTTTGTTGACAGGTTGTTGTATACGATATAACCTCCCACAAAAATCTTGTCTAAATCCACCAAAATGGTGAAAATGAATGATACTGCATCAAAGTCATGGCTGTATTTGTTACATTGCCTTCAATTTTTTTGCTTCTTTCTCCCTTATACTTTTTTTTTAAAAAGCAGGGAGACTATTGAGAAATCTTATTAAAAATCACAAACTGAACAGCAGACCCCCTTTATTTTTTGCGAACCAGAAACAGATTTTAAATGACAAAAAAAAACCTCTCTTTTAATCTTTTTGTAACATCTTGACAGTTGTGCCAGAAGATGTCTGCTTCTGCCTTCAAAATATAATTGCTTTTGGTCTGAAATAATTCATTTCCCGCTCCTTTTCCTCTACTAGAAATCTTTGCCCTTTAAGCTGGATATTTTCCCTTCATTTTATGGCTACTTTTTTTGGAAGAAAATGGGAAGGGGTAGGAAGCCAGGAGGCAAAGGAGACCAGAGTGAATGTCATAACACAATGCCTTGTGAGGGTATGATAAAGAGAGCCTCTGTGAACCAAGGGAAAAAAACTAACCTCATAAAAATAAGGTTAACTGTTACACTGTTGAATATCTAGTGTCATCATAGGTATTTGACCTTTTTAAATCCACCAGAGCCATTTCTATTTGTTTTGTTTTCAATAACTCAAGTGAAGTCATACCATAGTTGAATGCCTTTCTGGCAGTTTAGTGTCTTAAAGATCCCAGATCTTGTTGGAGTAAGAATGTCTTCAAATTTCTGTAAAATCTGTCTTTGGATTCTTTGGTAGGAAACATTTCTGATTTATGAAATAAACTTAATGGGGAGTAGAAATAGGTGATCTCAGCAAAGGAGGACCTTCAATGGTGGGATGGGGAGTGTAGGCATTTGTGAAAATTCGTATCTGCAAAGTAGGATGGTATGTCCTTCTAACACCCACATTTAAGTTTTGAATCACAAACTAGGGAAAAGGAAAGATAGTAAAGGGAAAAGAGGACATGAAAGAGAAACAGGTATTGACCATCACAGTAAACCTAATATTTTTAGGCTCCTTACATTATAGTGTCTGTTTTTATCCCATATATACCTGTCATTTTTCCCCCCAAACCAGTTCTGTGAAGGTAAGCGTAGTCTGCCAGTTCTTTTATGACTCAGTTGTATAGATGTTTTTGGCTTCCTTGGATCTACTTTTCTCTGCATTCACTAAAGCCCAGAAGAGGCCTGTGCCACACACTTTGCAGAGTTTATGGGATTAAGCAACTCTGTGCTGCCCCCTTCTGTCCAGATTTGACCTGTTGGATGAATGAAGATTTGTCTAATAGAGCTTCTTCTCTGCTTTTCTAATTGTTTGAGAAAATAGAAAATACATGAATAAAAAAGAGGGAGAAGGGGAACACCAAGCCTCTGTTGCAGTACTAGGTACTCCTTGGAAACTATCGGGTGCACTGTTCTTTCCACCTGCCTTGAGGCTACTTCGCTATTGAGCACCAGGGTGGAAGCAGTGCATTTCTATGTAGACAAGAACCTACATTTGGAGAAGCAAACTGAAGTCCAAGTTTTCTTCTTTTTTTTAGGGAAAACAAGGATGAGAATTACATTACATTGCATTGAGCACTTGCTATGAGTCAAGCATTGTGCTTGATGCTCCTTATAGTATGTGGTGGGCCTACATCCCATTTCCCAGTAAGACACAGTCACCAATATTCTGGGGAAGATGAGGTATCTTAAAATTAAAGCCACAGTTTATGTTATCTGTTATTTATTTATTATTATTTATGCCATATATTATTATGTTTCCTTAGGAGTTTCCCAATGGACGAGGACAAAGATTCAGTTTTGCTAGCTGGGTTCAAGACATAGAAGCAAGAAACTGATTATTTTCCTTGGGTTTTCTTCCTCTGGGTTTCTTGTCCTGTTAAAATACAGGTATCGCAACCCATCACCTATTCCCATCGTGTGGTCTTTTTTGCTTTTCTGTATTAATTCAGGACCTCATCTGTCTTTTTTATTTCTCTTAATTTGTTATTTCATGTTATCTGTCCTTTCTGGGATATAGGGTCTGTTTCATCCTGAGACCCATTTCCAGGATTACCACTTGTAATCCCACTTTTCCTTCTGAGGAGCATGGCCCTATGTATTTCAGTCTTTGGGGATTCTGGCAGTTTTATGCAAAAGTAATGATGATTATTAAAAATTTTTTTTTTTTTATTTGACAGAGATCACAAATAGGCAGAGAAGCAGGCAGAGAGAGAGAGAGAGGAGGAAGCAGCTCCCCACTGAGCAGAGAGTTTGATGCGGGGCTCAATCGCAGGACCACTGGACTCATGACCTAAGCTGAAGGCAGAGGCTTTAACCCACTGAGCCACCCAGGCGCCCCACTAATGATGATTATTAAGAGGCCTGGTATTCCTGGAGGATGAGTACTTCCCAACTCCAGAGATCATCTTATTTTATCCTTCAGCTTGGCAAGGGGGTTGGTATGACCTTATTTTACTCTGAGGAAAGTAAGATTCAGTGTTAGGTAAGTTGCTTACATCATGTAATTAGTAAATGGTGGAGCCCAAAGTTAAATTACTGCTCTGTCTGGGGCTAAAGGAAGTATCTATATTCCTTTTACGCAATGATCTCTTAAAATCTAACATTTATTGAATTTATTGAATGTCTACTGATGGTTCAAGCACTGTGACAAGGCTGCTATGCTGGGAAACTCTGACATGGAGTTGGCCTCAAACTGAGTTGGTGTTCTGAAATACTGTGATGAGAGAGATTCTGTGGTCTTGTCCGCACTCACTGGGAAAGGATGTTGGGATCCATTGTTAATGTCTATCTGGGGAGCATAACAGGGTGGCTTTTACAATTATTCACCTTCTCTCCCAGAGTCACCCAGCATCAAGGGTGGGATGATAGGCTATTTAAGGGATAGGTTTGGACCGCTAGAGCCCAGGTTCAGGTCCTGAATCCACATTGTGTTTAACTAGGAAGTCTTGAGGAAATTACTCAAACTGAGTCTCCAGTGTCTTATTCTGTAAGAGAGGGTGATCATAGTATTCACCTTGAGTTACTTTGAGGCTTAAATGTGACAGTGCACATGATACAATGCTTGGCACATTAGGTCTTCGGTAAATGTTACCTGTTAGAAATAAATTTAATGAGACTGAAAGGTATCTTGATAGACCACTTACTATCTTTTTGTTTTTCTTTCTCTAATCATACAGAGGTTACTTCTCTAAAGGATACCTAGTTGACATATTTTACACGGTGAAATAAAAGAGTAATTATTTCCCCATTTATTTCCCTGACAGGTTCCTCTTTACTTCCTTGAGATGAGAAGTCCTAATTTGGCTAACTGCTCTAGTCGGTAACGAGCACCAAATGCTGACTAGGAGACTCAGGTAAGGCGTCATCTACAAAACCACAGACGAAGGTGTGATGCTTTTTGAAAAGTCAGGATGAATGTAATAAATTGAGGGGCTTATAGGGGATACAGGGCAGAGCAAACCCTGATGTCTGTGTTTTGGGTATAGATGATACTGCTTTTGCAGACCACAGTCTCCGTCTCAGCTGCCGTGTTGTGAGATAATAGAAGTATGAAAGGGTTGGCGAGGGGCTGAAAGCTGAGATATGTAGCCACACACTACTGTTTCTTGTCCCGGTTCCATTAGCACCAAACAGTCAAGTGCTCCAGTACTGTGAGTGTACTTTGGTAGCTTGTAATTGCCCTGTGCTTCAGTCAAGAGATGGGTAATTGCTCCTATGGGCCATGGATTTCCTGCTAGCAGCAGCTGATTGAAACCAGCCATTTATTGTGCTTAAAAACCCCAGACTCACTGCAGTGTTTACAGATAAACCTTCTGTGCGACAGTCATTTACTCTACCCAGCCATCCATATATTAAAGATATTACACACTACCCCCTCCTTTTCTCTTGCAGACAGATCAACTGTTCTTTTCAGTTTGATTAAATTTCAGTCTATAGTGTTGACATGCCAACTCTTTCATTTTGTGGCTTATGCTTTAAATAAATTTGCATTTCTTTGGACCTAAGTTCTATTTTGGGGGTGTTTGTTAATAGCCACACTACTGTTAGTTTTAGATACTTCTGCAAAGTTGTTTTTCCTCCTTTTTGTGCCTCCCATGAGCCAAACACAGATCTTAGCCTGTGTGTCTCTTGGTGCCCTCATAAGGGGGAATATAATAAAAATAGGCTGTTCACTCTAAGTAATCATGAATTTTTTAAGTTTGGGGGATGCTAACAGAGGATTGTGTGTTTTCTAATTTTAATGACATCTCCATCTGTGATGGACACATTGGATGCTGCTACATGACATCACAAGGTAGAGGACACTCTGTGTCCATTATCAACTTAATGGTCTCCCATCCTGCTACCCCCGCAGTTCTATTAAAATTTGGTTTTAGGGGTTAAAAGAGAAGATTGATATCTACATGTGATTCAGGTCTGTCCAGTAGGTCTCAAGATTTGGGGTGGTTTTAATTCAATTTCTCTGCTTATGAATAGTAACACTGATATCATTTTCTACTTTCTCCCTTTGTTCTTGTGCCAAGAATGAAAGATAAGAATACTTAGGGATAAACTAGGAATGCTGCTCTGGACTTGTGAAATCAGAAACTCTGTTATTTCCTACCATATCTTCTCTCTCTCTCTCTCTCTCTTTTTTTAATCTTTCCCACCAAACGCACTTGGTTGGAATTCATGAGTAATTTATGCTCTTTCTATAGGAATAAATAGGATTATCTGCTGCTCTTGACATTTATATGTAAATTTTCTAGGTTGATTAGTAGGAAAAATGATCAGTCTTTTTTTTTTTTTTTTTTTAAAAGATTTTATTTATTTATTTGACAGGCAGAAATCACAAACAGGCAGAGAGGCAGACAGAGCGAGAGAGAGGGGGGAAGCAGGCTTCCCGCTGAGCAGAGAGCCTGATGTAGGGCTGGATCCCAGGATCCTGACCTGAGCCAGAGGCAGAGACTCAACCCACTGAGCCTCCCAGGCGCCCCTACTTTTTTTTTTTTTTTAACCGAATGACTGGAAAGCTTATATCATCATGGTCAGACCTACTTGAATTAACGAAAAGAGTTGAGATTTGTCTAGTGTATTTCCTTTAGCTCCATCTTCTCTTTTTGGAGCTCTATCTTCCTAGATACATGGAGCTGGCAAATTTATTTGTAATGCAATGTTAAAGAATATATTAATTAGGACTCTCGGGTCTGTGTCGAACTAAGGTTCCTAGAACCTCAGATAATGATAACTAATATATTCTTTAAATTGTAAGATTAAAATTAATGGTTTGAGCAGAAACCAAATACAGCAATTGCCATGAAGCAAAGAACATTTGCCCATAGTAGACGCATACATGAACTTGGCCCTCTGGTAGACAGCAGATGGAGTATGTATGTCCAGGTGTTTAAGAACATAATATAGAACAAGAAAATAAAAACTTGACTCCTATGATGGTATCATTGTGTGATGTATTTTAGCAGATACACATTTAACACAAAGATTAATGGAGTCATAATTATATTTACAATAGTTCTTCATAAAAGACCAAGGGAAATAATGAATTAATGAATGCTTGCTTATTGGTCCTGCTACTTTGCTTTATATCTTCTTGTTTAATGTTTACCTAATAATGTAGATATTAATAACTTTTTTTTAAAGACTTTATTTATTTGACAGAGAGAGATCACAAGTGGGCAGAGAGGCAAGCAGAGAGAGAGAGGGGAGGAAGCAGGCTCCCTGCTGAGCAGAGAGCCCGATGCGGGACTCGATCCCAGGACTCTGAGATCATGACCTGAGCTGAAGGCAGAGGCTTAACCCACTGAGCCACCCAAGAGCCCCTTAATAACTTTATTAATAACTCACAACCCCAAGATGAATAGTCTTATACTCTTCTGAGTGAGCCAGCCAGGTGTCCCTTGATATTATTTTCTTCAAGATGAGGAAGCAGAGGCTCTCAGGGGTTAAATAACTTCTCCTGTGTCAAAAAGCTTGTAGGAAGAGCCATTGTGATTCTAGTTCAGCTAGGCCTGGCTCCTAAGTCCACTTGCTTTCCATTATTTTACCTGGTTCTTGAAGTTTTCTTATTTCTCTGAATATCAGATTTCCATAGTGCAGTTAAACATGATTTGATTGATCAGTATTTGGTTTCCACTTGGTTTTTTAGGAACTCATTCAATTACTGATTCATTCAGCTAATATTTATTTTCGTATCTCCCGTGTGTCAGGCACTGCTGGGCACTGAGAATACAAGATTAATGAGATGTGGCTCCTGTTCCTGAGACGCTTTCAGGGAGGGAACAGATATGCAAAAAACCCCATACTTATGATCCAGTATGAGAGCCAGGTTAGAGGTAAAGTAGTGCCCCTCCTGCCCCCCATCTGTGGTTTTGCTTACAGGGTTTCAGTTCCCTATGCTCAGCCATGGTCTGGAAGCAGATAATTCTCCTGACATACCATAGATGAACACTGCATCACAATGCCTATGTCATTCACTGTACTTCGTCTTATCATATCGGGATTTTATCATCTCGCATCATCACAAGAAGAAGAAGGGTGATTACAGAACAAAGAAGTACTTTGAGAGAGACACCATATTCACATTACTTTTATTACAGTATAATTGTCCTATTTTATTATTAGTTATTATTGTTAATCTCTTACTATGCCTAACTTAGAAATTAAACTTTGTCATAGTTATGTATGTATTGGAAAAAAAAAAGTATATATATATGGTTTGGTACTCTCTGTGGTTTCAGGCATCCACTGGAGGTCTTGGAATGTAACCCCCACAGGTAAGGGCAGACTACTGTATGTTCAAGTTTCATGGGTGAAACAAAAAAAAAAGCAAGTAATCGATATGTTTGTGAGGAGAGGTTGTATTTGGCAAAGGGTTTTTACAAAAAAAAAAAAAAATTAATAATAAAAAGAGCTTTAATGGGAGTCTTAAAGGATAGTGATAATGGTGATAATTGCAAATAGTTTTGAATACTTAGTATGTTCTCAAGGCAACCTGATTAAAGTCTTACTTCATTTAAACCTCTCAAAATCTCTAGGCATTATTCCTTTTCACATCTTGGTGATGAGGAAACACAGGCACAGAGAGTTAAGTGACTACTGGATAGTAGGAAGGAGAATGCAAATCCAAGTTGGCTAGCTTCAAGGCCAACCCCATTTTGTGGTTCTGTTTTACTGAAGCAGTGCTGAGTAAGGGTTTTCCCAGAAGAGGTCGGGTTGGGGTAAAGGGAAATTTGGAACTTCAGAAGGTTTTTACGTAGCCAAGGGAACGGTATATACCAAGTCAAAGAGGTGAGAAACAGTGGGGGCATATATTGGAGATTTGTAAGTAGCAACAAATGGCTGAATGTGCCTTGTGTATTGAGGGTTGTTGGGGAGGGTCTCCCAGATCAGGAAGGACCTATTTGGACAGGGTAAGTTTAGATTTGGTGTCACTGAAGGATTTTAAATAGGGGAATGAGATGATCTCATCACTTTTCGTCACTAAGGTATACACAGGAAATTAGGGAAAGTCTAGGTTTCAGGGATATGAGTTAAAGCCCTCAAAATATGTTAGTAGCAGCAGTTTGACAACCTCAACTTAAAAGCATTTTAATAGCATACATTATTTATCTCAATATTATAAGATGTGATAACTTCAACTTTTAAAGCCTTGCCTTCTTTCTAGTCAAAGCTCTTCTAATGTAGAGGTTAGACTGGTCCCTGGAACTGAAATCTGCAAATGCCTTGATCATTTACCTGAGTTTCAGACAGGCCATGTCACCTGAGATAGAGACTCATTCTGGATCTGAGGTTTAGATCAAATTGCTTTATCCTAAAAGAGGGCTGCATGGAGAATTTGTAAATCAAGATTTAGGTTTAGTGTGTGTTTTAGGAGCCCAATCTAATGTTTCGTAGACCATAACACAAACTCCAGGCTTCTGAGCCCACATTATAGGAATTGACAACCCATTTTGGGGAGGGAAAGCCATGGTTGAAATGGCCACTGTGTGACTGCTTTTGATTACTGTCTTTCTAGGCATTGCACCTATCAGAGGAAATGTACCATCTGAAGATTTAAAGCCAGTAAGCAATCTTCATCTCTCCTGATATTTTCTGCCTTAGATTGGAGCAAGCATTGGCTGACACTGGTGGTTGTTTTCCCTGACTTGCTTTGCTGTTATATGATGACCTTTTCTTTGTTTATTGTTTTATTTGAACTTGCTGGGAGTTTATATAATTGATGGGCTTGTATGCTGTAGTATGTCTGGGAATCTGCTGGTGATATACAACAGTGTCTGAATGCGTAGTGTTTTCTTTCATTCCTCCCCCCAACTCTTACCCCTGATGTCAGATAGTCAACATCCCAACTGGTTGAGCTGATATGGTAATAGAGATTCTTCCTTATCTTGTAAGCTAAAGGTTTTGGTTAATCAGAGTCACCCAGAGTCAGCCTATATTAGAAATTTCTTGTTGACAATCTCTTGAGCTCTGGTATAATACCTGACTTTTAAGTTTTGATATATTTCCTAGCAGAGACTGGTCTCTACTTACATTGCCTTAGCTTGACTGGGGTGTTGAAATGTACAAATCATGTATTTGTTCCTTACTTATGAAAAATAAGTAGTATGTGATTGTCAGTATATGTTTGCTAGCTAATCACTTAACATTTTAATCTGATTTTAAAAACTATAGGCATTAAAAAAAGACAAAGAAAGGGGAAAAAACTATAAAACAGTATATAGATTCTTATTTTTGAACCAAGTTATATATGATCTTGAATGAAAAAGATACAGAATAAAAAGTATCAGAGAGCTGTGGAGATAATCTGGGTCACAAGGACTTTCTGTCTTTCCTCCCTGTACTAGTACATATGTAATTTTTTTCATATTTAGAAAAGTTTAAAAGCACAGGCACTATTCATGATGCAGGCATAACTCAAAAGCTTCTAAAATGCAAGAGGATTGAGTGATTAGCAAATAATTCAAATATGTTATATGTTTCAAATAAAGAAGTTAATTATTCAGTTGACATGGTTAAGCTTTAAGTTCTTGTCGCTTTAAATTAAACTGTGCTTGTGTTTTGCAGCGATGGCTGAGGTCCTTACATCTTGGTAGCAGGAATTGGTCTTGGTAAGTCACTACTTTCATATTCTAAGAGTTTATTATTCAAGGCAAGGATTAAAAAACACTTCCACTAGCTTTGGGAATTGATATGCAAACAGATATGCTTGTGATGACTTTTGCTTACCTGTGATGTCAGCCTTAGTCTTATCTTAGCACCTTCTCTGTCAATCAGTCTTGACCAACATCTGTTGGAAGTCTGTGGTGTGCTAAACCTTGTGATGGGTGTTTAGGATAAAAAATAAAAGGTTCCTCAAGAAGCTCATGTCTTTGAAAAAGAATCCAGCATAAATATTGAATTTCATTGGTTACATGTATTTTCCAATAGAGAAAGAGAGTTCCTAAAATTGGTTTTGCTTTGCCATCCCTTCTGAGAGGTGTTCTAAAACAAGGCATAAGTGCCAAGTGATGCGGTGATTGAGTATTTTATCAAGAGCATGTAGTTAATCATTAAACATCTATTTTGGTGCCAATTAAGCAACAATTCTCCATGAATGTTCAGAGTTGAGATTTTCTTTGAGTTCCTTGAGAATGGATTTAGAAATCTGGAGGCAAGAGCCAAAGTGTTTGATTTAGTTCAAGGGCCTGATATTGAGGGACCTTTTTAAGGTTTCTGTGGGATCCTGTGGAGTTGGTTCTTTGTCTCTCTTCATGGAATAATACCTTAAAAGAGGAGCTTGGAAGAGATTAAAAACCAACTAATAGGCAGGGAAATGAGTGAAAGAAATGTCAAACTCAGAGGGCATTTGTCAAGGTTTGTCAGTGTTTTAGTTCATTTGGGCTGCTATCACAAAGTAATGCAGATTGGGTAGTTTAAACAACAGAAAGTTATTTTTCAAAGATCTGGAGGCTAAGAAGTTCAAGATCCAAGCACCAGCATGGTCATACTCTGGTGAGAGCCCCCCTTCCTGGTTTATAGCCAGTGTCTTCTTCCTGTTCTCTTTCATGGAAGGGGTCAGGGATCTCTCTGGAGCCTATTTTATAAAGCATTGATCCTATTCATGCGTTCTCCAACCTTATGGTTTAAGCACCTCTGGAAGCTCCACCTCATAATAACATCTTTGGGAGTTCGGACTTCAGCATATGAATTTTGGGGGGACACGAATATTTACACCATAGCCATTAGACACTCATGAATCCATACTGGTCCCAAGCTATCAGAAAGGGTTGGATCTTTGTGGATCAGGAAATTAGTAAGGGTGGGGGGGGGATGCATGTAGTCGTGATACTCAGGGTTGCTTCTTATTTCTTATAGCAAATATGTTTGTTGTGTGTTTGTTGTCTTGATAGGCAAGATATCAGAACACCAAATTTTAAAAAAGAAGGAAAAAAAAAATCTGTGCCAGAAACCTGTAAGGTAGAGAAAAATGCTTTCCCTTAATACTGCTGTTTTGAGAGAAAGTATTCAGATTTTTAAAAAAAGATTTTATTTATTTATTTGACAGAAAGAGAGATCACAAGTAGGCAGAGAGGCACACAGTGGGGGTGGGGTGGGGGGGGAAGCAGGCTCCCTGCTGAGCAGAGAGCCCAATGCAGGGCTCGTTTGCAGAACCTCTGAGACCATGGCCTGAATTGAAGGCAGAGGCTTAACCCACTGAGCCACCCAGGCACCCCAGTATTCAAATATTTGAAGGAACTTAATATTTTCCCATAATATCTGCATTCAAATATAGATCTTTTTTTAAATTCAAAATTTATGGTAAGTATTATATTTTTAAATTTTTAATTTTTTAAAATTTCTTTTCAGTATACCAGAATTCATTGTTTTTGCACCACACCCAGTGCTCCATGCAATATGTGCCCTCATATATAGATTTGATCTTTCTATCATCTATCTGGATTTGATCTGTATACACATATGAATTTGATCCCGCCGTTTCGTTTTAGTGTAGTTTTCTGCTACACTTAATATGTTAAAGACGAGAAAGTAGGGCATGATTTTAACTTAGCATTTTAATTCACAGGATACTAATTAATAAGTGTTAAATAATTAAGAAGGGGATTGAGTCTTTCTGGGTTAGACTTTTCTTCTAAGAAATGACTATATTTTAGATTTTACTCACATTTTCTCAGGGTCAGTACTGTGTCATCACTGTGTTTTATTTACAATGTATGGTTTATTTATGGGAATTTACTGGGGAGATGACAACAATAAATTTATTGGGAAGATGACACTTTCATTCTTTCTTGCCTTCTCTGAGTCCAGCTCCAAGAAATCATATACATTGGATTCATATTTTGGATTTTTTGAAATCATGTTACAAAACACAATAAAAAAGAAAAAAAAAGTTTTGCTATTTTCATCTTAATTTTTAATTTTTTCTATTTTTTAATCTTAATTTTTTTTCTTTCTTTCCTTTTTTAAGGATTTATTTACTTATTTATTTTAAAGATTTTATTTTTATTTATTTGACAGACAGATCTGTCAAGTAGGCAGAGAGGCAGGCAGAGAGAGAGGAGGAGGCAGGCTCCCTGCTGAGCGGAGAGCCTGATTCGGGGCTTGATCCCAGGACTCTGGGATCATGACCTGAGCCGAAGGCAGAGGCTTTAACCCACTGAGCCACTCAGGCGCCCCTTACTTACTTATTTTAGAGAGAGAGAGAGAGAGTACATAAGGCCAGGAGGAGGAGAGGGAGAGAGAAACTTTTGCAGAGTCTCTGCTCAGGGCAGAGCCTGACACAGGGCTCAGTCTCATAAGCCTGAGATCACAACCTGAGTCAAAACCAAGAGTTGGAGGCTAAGTGACTGCCCATGCAGGTGTCCCTAATCTTAATTTTCTGAACTATATTTCTTCTTTTATAAGATGGGACATTGATGCCTTTCTCTCCTGGGAAAGTGGTCTGGCACATGGCAGGCACTCAGACCAGTTTGTGGTAATTTTTTAGTACTTAGCAAAAAGTAAGGTTTTCAGTGAATGTTAATGCCTCTTGCACATCTTTATGCTGGGGATATGAAGGTGAATGAGACACAGCTTCTGCTTTCAAGGAGCTTGACATCTAGGGGAAAGGAAAATAGGTAGATAGAGCCAATGAAACCTCTTATTCAAAGTGCTTTAGGACTAAGGGGCCAATGTTCTAAGGACCTCTGTGTTCTTGGACAGCCAGAATTGTCCAAGTCAGCCATGTTATTTGCACAGTGTCTAATTGGATGTTTACCAAAAAGACCTAAAGCCATTGACAACCTATAAAAAATGTTGTGGTGGTGAAAGCTATTAATGTGTACACTGTGCAGAAAATAACTTTAGCAGTAGGTCTGTATTGGTACAGGCTGTTGTAACAAAAATACCACCAACTGGGCAGCTTAAATGACAGAAACTCATTATCTCACAGTTCTAGAGGTTAGAAATCTGAGGTCAAAGCAGGGCTGATTCCTTCTGAGTGCCATGAGGAAGGATCTATTCCATACCATTCTCCTAACTTCTGGTAGTTTGCTGGCAATCTTTCACATTTCTTGGCTTTTGCTGCATCACTGAGATCTCTGCCTACATCTTCACATGATGTTCTCCTTGGGGGGCTGCCTATCTCTTCACATGGTGTTCTCTTTATAAGGACACAGGATGGGGTGTCGTCTTGATTTCAGCTCAGGTCATGATCTCAGAGTCCTGGGATCAAGCCCCGAGGTGGGTGAGGCGGGTCCATGCTCCGCAGGGAGTTTGCTTCAAGATTCTCTCTACCTCCGCCCCTTCCCCCCTCAAATAAACAAATAAATCTTAAAAAAAAAAAAAAGGAAGGATACCAGGTGTATTGGTTAGGGGCCTATCCTACTCTGGAATGACCTTATATTAACTAAGTACATTTGCAACAACTCTACTTCCAAATAAGGTCACATCGTGAGGTACTGAGGTGGAGACTTTTTAAAACACGAATTTTGTGGGGAACACAATTCAACACATTAAAAAAAATGTTTCTTTATAGTATATTTCAAGGAACAGACAGGAGCAACTGATTAACATTTCTCCCAAAC